TTTATATATTAAAAATATAATATTTATAAAAATTTTAATATAATAAACATATATTTAAATATAATATTTATTTGAATATATAATTTTATTATAAATTTTAATTGTATATAATAGATATTTATTATGTGAAATGCACATACTAAATATTAATAATAAATAAATTCAACAAATTTAGTTATATATTTTCCATTCTACAAGATTGAAATTATAAATTTCATAACTCTTGATATACTTTCCTTATATTCTAAGAATTTATCACTTTTCTAAATAATAGAAAATGATATCATGTTTTTAGTATAGAAAATCTTTAGTATCTGATTCTATAACTAAAAAAACAAAACAAAAATTTACACAATTAATAAAGATAATATACCATTTTTTATACACTTTTTTTTTTAATAATTTTCTCTCCTATACTTTTTTTAGTTTATTTTTTATTCTTTTTTCTACTTATTCATAAATTTATTTTTCAAACATCTCATACCCTATAAGGCAACCCTTATATTTTAAACATGAATAATTATATTGTAGGAAAGTGCTTTTAGGAGGTTTTAGTACTAGAGGGATTTTAGAAATTTTTTTAACTTCATATCTAATTCAATTTTATTTATTATAATTATTTATGAAAAATTCTAATATTTAAAAATAAGTTATAATAAATAAAGATAATTTTGTACTACAATATAAATTATTTATCTCTATAAAAAAATTATTTATTATAAATCTAAAATATAATTTATATTTAAAAATATCTACTTATTCAAAATTTAAATATAATTTATATATTCAAACATATTTATTTATACTAGTAAGGTTCAGGTATGTAACACCCTGGTTTTCATACCTTATATTAATAATATTTTATAAATTATTTCAATATGTTAGTGTATTTATTGTGGAATTTTTGGTACTATTTAAGTATTCGTATGAGCACTATTTTATTACAAAGCCTGGGAAAACAACTTGATATGACATCAGAAGGCTCAAAGCCCAATAAGGGTGATCTAGTAGCCTAGAACGGGTTGTTCCCAAAACGGAAAAGGTTGTTCCCAAAACGGAACGGGTCATTCCCCAAACTGGAATGGGGCGTTCCAAACCACCAAAAAGGTCTAAAACCCTAGTTGGGAACGGGTCGTTCCAAACATGGTCGCTATGAGTTAAAACTCAACTCTAGAACGGGTCGTTCTAGATGCAAATTTAACACATGACAAATGAATCCAAAATGGGCCGTTCTGGATCTGAAACGGGCTGTTCTGGCCACTTCTGACGTCTATAAATAGCATACTCAGACATTCCTCATTGACACGCTCTTTGAAGACCAAGGAGAACCAAGAGAAGGAGATCAACCAGATTCTGCTATAGCTTTATCTTCTACTTATCCAAGTAACGGGGAGTGAGAAACCTCGCTCGGGGGTGTGGGAATAATTATTGGGTAGCAGGATTGGCCCCCAATCTCTTGCCTGATGCATGCTTCTAGGATCAGGCAAAATATGAAAGTTTTCTATTTTTCTTTCTGAATGTTTTGTTGCATTCCTTGTGTGATGTTGAGTGTAAATGTGTTTGATTTCAAAATTAGATAAGTTGTGATATGAATTAGAGTGCTTTGTGGGTTCCTGTGCAAAGCCCTATGAGGAACAATTATGAGTATGACTATGTGAAATGTGAACAAATGACACGAGACATTATGTGAATGACGTGCTATTGTTAACACTTTGACTATGAGAATGTGAAACGTGATGAAATGAGATAAGACATGAAATTCTATGACAAGTAAAGTGATGAGTCCATGAGTTTGTGAATGTGTGACATGCATCATATGCATTTATGTGACTGGGTACTATATGAAGTGTAGACACCCAATTTCATCCAGGGGCATACAAACAACAAGATAGGACATTAGAGGCCCCAAAAGACCAACTCAACTGCTCTTAGTGGCCCCAACCGGGCCGTTCCAAAATCGGAACGGGCCGTTCCCAAGTCCGGAATGGGCTGTTCTTGAATTGGAACGGCCCATTCCGAGGCTCCTAAAAGGCCTAAAAAATTTGGTCTGGAACGGGCCGTTCCAAACCAATCAAAGGGCCTAAAAAACATGGTTTGGAACGGGCCATTCCTAAACTAGAATGGGCCGTTCCAAAAGGTTAAAAAGGCCTAACAAACGTAGTTTGGAACGGGCCATTCTGGGAAGGGAATTTAGTGTTAATTTGTACCCCGGAACGGGCCGTTCTGGTTTCCTGAACGGACCGTTCTGATTTCAGAACGGGCCGTTCTAGGGTGCAAAATTCACACATAACGTTCAGATTCGGAATGGGCCGTTCCGAATCCAGAACGGGCCATTTCAGCCCACATCTGATACCTATAAATAGAAATCTCAAGCACAGTTCTCAAGACTCCAAAAATTTCGTCCAGACTCCTTAGAGTTTGAAATTTCTCTCTTTTTTTTTCTCTCTCTCTTTTGTATTTCTTGAGATTTTGTGAGGCATTGTAGTGTGAAAGGTTGTCACAAAGTACCTAAAATCTTCCTATTTTGAAGATTCAATAGAGCTCATTCAAGATGTATTTCAGTTAATCTCTTTCTCTTTTTTTATTTCTTATCTATAATAAATATTGTTATAATAAAAATAATCATGTAGACATTTTTGGGTTAATTGTATAATTTAAATTTCAAGCATGTAAATAATTATTAATAAAATGGGATTTAATATTTCTATTATTATCATTTATAATGCTAACTTCACCATAGGGTACCAATTAAGGGCGTTGTAGGGGTGCTTAATACCTTCCCTACACGTAACCGACCCTCGAACCTAATTTTGGCTATCAAGGCTATTATTGAATTTTTAAAAACCTTTTCTTTCTTCAGTGTTTTGAGTAAAACATTGGTGGTGACTCCATGAACTCATTTTTCAAAACCATTAATTAAGGATTAGTTTGGTGTCCAGGCATTCCTTAATTGATAAGACTTTCAAAAAGATGTTTAAACCATTAGTCGCGAGATCAGATTTATCTATCGATAATTACCCACGGATTTATCTATCGATAATTACCCACGGATTTATCCGTCGGTAATTACTCACGGATAAAATTGTGAGTAATTATCTAATTTAATTTTTATTTATCATAATTACTTATAAATTAATTTTGTTATTTATAACATAACTTATTAATAAAAAATAATTACTCACGGATTTATCCATCGATAATTACCCTCGAATTTATCCATCGGTAATTACCATGGATTTATCAGTCAATAATTACCCACGGATTTATCCGTCGGTAATTACCTAGGGATAAATCCGTCGGTAATTATCTAATTTAATTTTTATTTATCATAATTACTTATGAATTAATTTTATTATTTTTAAAATAAATTATTAATAAAAAATAATTACACACGGATACATCCGTCGGTAATAACGGTAATTTTGTGGGTATTGTTGATAATATTTTTAAAAAATCATTTTAAAATTATATTAAATAATAATATTGTTTTATTAAAAACAATATAGTTTAAAATTGGTAAAATTATTATAAATGTTAAGAAATTATCTTTTAATTTTAGATTATCATGCATCAATATCATTTCACTAATTATATATTTCTCAATTTAAATAAAATTAACTATATAATATTAAAATATATTGATAGTGACACACACTCTATAGTGACACTATACATGTCATTAAAAATTGCTTATACCCACACAATAACTACAATATATGTTGGTATATTATTAAAAGGTGTGGGTATAGACTATAGTGACACACAAAATATGTTGTTAAATCTCATTCAAAATCAACACTAAAATTGTGTGTAACTATATGTCAAATAGACATATACCTACATATATTGTACCTATAATGACACATTTTGTATGTCACTATATGTAACATCTCTTATAGTGGTACATTATTATTTTATACTATCATTTAATTATAAATTTTATATATATAATAGTTGGTATGGCAAATTAATTAGCATGAGAAAATTATTTAAGTATTTAAGAATTTAATTTGTTAATCTTTTATCATTAAATTTTTTAAAGTTACCGACGAATTTTTTTGCATTTTCTACGAACAATGTTTTAGACAGATAATCCATGAAAAATATCTGTTTGAAACATCATAATTTTCCCAAGGAAAAAATACGTGAGTAATATCCATATGAAATTTCAAACGGAGAAAATCTTTGGGTAATATCCTTTGGAATCATTTATGTTTCAGATGGACACATATCCAATGTCATTTTTTAGATGGATATTTATTCGTAGAAAAAAGTCTGTCGGTAATGAGTGTTTTTTTTTTGTAGTAGAGATTCCCAT